GAATACTTTGATGTAAAATAAATTAAAATTGATTTTAAAGTCCTCTGGTACCCATTCCAGTGATTTATTGATTGCAAACATTTCCATCCATAAAATCGGTTTTATTTTGTTTAAATTTAAATTTTATACACATTGTTCCATACTATAAAACCAGTCATTACAATAATTTTTCCCAAAAGAAATTTCATAATACTAGTTATGTAATAAATAAGTAAAATTCTAACTACCACCAAAACATATTTTAAATTCATAAATATGTATACTATCTATAAATACATACATATATATATTTTTATATATCGTAACAAAATATGAAACCATTTGATAAATTGATAATTCTGTACATATTTTCCCTCAACATTTTTTTGCCAACGAAAACAAAACTTTTTAATCATTTACGTGCCGATTATTCCTAACAACTCGATGTAATGGAACGAACATTGGCTGCTGGCAACCGTTGGTGGTGGAAAGTTTGCTGGTTCTGTTCTGTTCTTTTTTTTGTTTCTCTGTTTTGTTATTCTCTTCAGTGAATTGAATTTTACCACCAAGTGTACTCAGTGTACGTTTGTTGGCAACGAAAAAGAACAAAAAAATAAGAGGACCTTTACAACGAATACACATACACTTGCTTACATATACAAATAATAACTGTCCTGGTTTCCGTTACTTGCAATTTGCTATAGTAGTGGTGCTGGTGGTCGTCGTCGTTGTATTTTTTTTTCTCCATCTTCTTTTGGCACAATTTGTGCACTCGTGCTCTCAGCGAATATGGGTCATTTTAATAACATCAAAAAAAGAAAAAAAAATGTTGTAGTCATTTCTTGTTTTTCTTCTAGCCATCATCCATAATTTCAATGGTGCTGCCCTTGAGGAAAAAATAGTGTAAATCGAGATATATAAACGAGAAATCAACAGCAAATAGAAAAAAAAACAGAGACGGCGGGGAACAACAACCCATGTAGTGTATTTGGGTGGCTGATAGAAAATACTCTCCATTTCCAGTTCAAACTCAAAAACTTTGTTTGTTGTTTCAAATAGTTGTTCGTGGTTCCACTGCCACCACCTCAGTTGTCTGTAGTGGTCTCTAGCCTCGCAATCCATCCATGTTCAATCCACTATTGCCAAGCGTGTATAAACTTCTTCCATAAATTTCTGTACTACATATGATTTTTGATATCCAATGTGTATATTTGTGTGTGTTTTCTATACGCCAGCCATCAGCTTTTTGCATTTTACTTTATAAGGCTGCATTTTTTACGCTGCTTTACTTAAGCCGCATTTGGTAGGATTTTTTGTTGTTTTAAGTTTTTTTGGTTGGGGATTCACATATGTGCCTGCATTTTGATTTTAAGAGATATATGTTTTTTTATACTTCTCCATATTTGTCGGAATCATATTTTTAAGTGCTATTCATTTAATGTTTTACTTTTTTGTACTTCTTTTTTGTTGTTGTTTTTGTTTTATTTCTTACGCAATATAAAAATTTTAAATCAAAGGCAGATGTTCGGATAATACAATAAAAAATCAACTTGCAATTTCAGAAGTTGAAATTGTATTGAATGAATTTGCAGGAATGGTGTTCTTTGGGAATTGAAAATGTAAAGGGTTTTATATGCGGAAAAAATTGGGGATTGTAAAAAGCCAGATATTGCAACCATTTTGGAGGAAAATATGAAAAAATGTACTAAATATGGTACAGCATGTAGGAGCCTGGAAAATTTACACATAAAGTACAGAGGTATGATGGTGCATAGCAGCTCTTCTTCTATTGGCACTCAAAATTGGCCGTCCTGCGTTGCTCAAGCGGAAAAGTTGTGACTACTTGTGCAAAATTTTCGCTAGGAAAACCTAAGAAACAGAGCAAATTAATTTGAAAAGAGTATTCAAAAACCCCCCAATAAAAGGAATAATGGGGTTATCATTATATAGAGGCTAGGGTAGGGAGATTCAATTGCAAATCCAAAATAAGAAATTTGGCCGAAACACGTGCCAAAACTCCCCAAAATACTGATATTTAAGATGAAGAATTATATAGGGTTACCCCAAAAAGTGGACCAATACTGCTGATTACTATTAGGAAACTTTTCTGTTCAATGCGAATCCCCAATATCAAATTAGAATCACATCTAATGAAAAATGTACCCAAAAAAATCGAAATATCAAGTACTGGATGATTTTATACCGAGTGATTTCATTAAAAATCGTGCGAAAAGCTTCAAAATATGGAGTTTTGAGGATTTTATATGGAGTGATAGATTAAGAAGCGTGCCCAAAGGCTTCAAAATACCGAATATTGGGCGGTACCGTTATATGGAAGCTACCCTGAGGAGTAATAGCAATATACTTGCAAAATTTCACAGATCTATTTGAAATGTTAATTTTCTTCCGAAATCCCCTCTTCTGTGGTTGTTGAAAAAATTTTTTTTTATTTATTATAAAAACCGTCGCCTCTTTGGTTGTTGAAATTGTTGGAATTTTTATTTAATTTTAATGCATATATGGTTGTTGATTTTTTTTAAATAATTCTTAAAAATCCTCACCGCAATGGTTGTTGAAAAACATTTTTTTAATCCAGGCATCAGTGGTTGTGGAAAATATTATTTTTTGATCCACGCCTCTACGATTGTTGAAAAAATCTTCTTTAAAAATCCACGCCTCTACGATTGTTGAAAAAAATCTTCTTTAAAAATCCACGCCTCTACGATTGTTGAAAAAAAATCTTCTTTAAAAATCCACGCCTCTACGATTGTTGAAAAAAATCTTCTTTAAAAATCCACGCCTCTACGATTGTTGAAAAAAAATCTTCTTTAAAAATCCACGCCTCTACGATTGTTGAAAAAATCTTCTTTAAAAATCCACGCATCTACGATTGTTAAAAAAAAATCTACTTTAAAAATTCACGCTTCTACGATTGTAGAAAAAATTCTTCTTCTTTGAAAATCACGGCCTCTACAATTCTTGAAAAAATCTTCTTTGAAAATCCAGGCCTCCAAAAAAAAAATATCTTCTTTAAAAATTCTTTTAAAAATCGCCTCTACGATTGTTGAAAAAAATCTTCTTTAAAAATTCACGCCTCTACTTCTTGAAAAAAATCTTCTTTGAAAATTCTACAATTCTTGAAAAAATCTTCTTTAAAAATCCTTCTTGGCCTCCACAATTATTGAAAAAAAAAAAAAATCTACTTTAAAAATCGACGCCTCTACGATTGCTGAAAATAATCTTCTTTAAAAATCCACGCCTCTACGATTGTTGAAAAAATCTTCTTTGAAAACCCAGGCCTCCAAAATTCTTGAAAAAAATCTTCTTTAAAAATCCACGCCTCTACGATTGTTGAAAAAATCGTCTTTGAAAATCCAGGCCTCCACAATTCTTGAAAAAAATCTTCTTTAAAAATCCACGCCTCTATGATTTTTGAAAAAATCTACTTTAAAAATTCACGCCTCTACGCTTGTTGAAAAAAATCTACTTTAAAAATCCACGCCTCTACGATTGTTGAAAAAAATCTTCTTTAAAAATCCTGGCCTCCACAATTGTTGAAAAAAAATCTTCTTTAAAAACCTGGCCTCCACAATTCTTGAAAAAATCTCCTTTAAAAATCCACGCATCTACGCTTGTTGAAAAAAATCTTCTTTAAAAATCCACGCCTCTACGATTGTTGAAAAAATCTTTTTTGGAAATCCAGGCCTCCACAATTGTTAAAAAAAATCTTTAAAAATCCACGCCTCTACGATTGTTGAAAAAAATCTACTTTAAAAATCCTGGCCTCCACAATTCTTGAAAAAAATCTTTTTTGGAAATCCAGGCCTCCACAATTGTTAAAAAAAATCTTCTTTAAAAATCCACGCATCTCCGCTTGTTGAAAAAAATCTTCTTTAAAAATCCACGCCTCTACGATTGTTGAAAAAATCTTCTTTGCAAATCCAGGCCTCCACAATTCTTGAAAAAATCTTCTTTAAAAATCCACGCCTTTGATAGGCCTTGAAAAAATATTCTTTAAAAATCCACGCCTTTGAAAAAAATCCAAAAATTCTTGAAAAAAATCTTCTTTAAAAATCCACGCCTCTACGATTGTTGAAAAAATCTACTTTAAAAATCCATGCCTCTACGATTGTTGAAAAAATCTTCTTTGGAAATCCAGGCCTCAACAATTCTTGAAAAAATCTTCTTTAAAAATCCACGCCTCAACGATTGTTGAAAAAATCTTCTTTGAAAACCCAGGCCTCAAAAATTATTGAAAAAAAATCTTCTATAAAAATCCACGCCTCTACGATTGTTTAAAAAATCTTCTTTAAAAATCCACGCCTCTACGATTGTTGAAAAAATCTACTTTAAAAATCCACGCCTATACGCTTGTTGAAAAAATTCTTCTTTAAAAATTCACGCCTCTACGATTGTTGAAAAAATATTTATAAAAAATTCACCCCTCTATGGTTCTTAAAAAAGTTGAAAGACGTTTTTAAAAAAAATATTAACAACAAAATACACGCCTCTATGGTTGTTGAAAAAAATTACAAAAAATCCTTCTATGGTTGTTAAAAAATATATATATATAAAATCCACCCTTCTATGGTTGTCGAAGAAAACATTCCTTAAAACTATAGGCCTAGAGTAGTTAAGAAATTATTTTTTCCAAACCCAGTTAATAAAGTTGTTTAAAAACCCACGTTTCTACAGTTATTCAAGAAGTATATTATATAAACATCCACGCCTCTATGGTTGTAAAAATTACAAATACACGTTTCTATAGTTGTTGAAAAAAAACAGTCTATAAAAATCTTCACTTCATAAGAAAATTATTTTTAAAAATTCAGGCCACTGTGTTTGTTGAAAAAAATAATTTTTAAAAATCCATGCCTCAATAGACGTTAAAAATTATATTTCAAAGGCTATAATAACAAGGTATTTATAGTTAAAAATATATATTTGAATAAAAATCTATTATTTTTTGCCCCTTGTTTTGAACAAATTTTTAATTAAATTTCTTTTCCTTATTTTTCCAGGGTGAATGCTCAGCTGGTACACTGCCTGTTGCATGGGTCGATGAGGGTCCCGGTCCGCCAAAGTGTCTCAAATCATGCAAAAGTGAAAACGACAAAGACGACGACGACGAAGAAGAAGACGAAACGCCATTAACAAATAAGTTAAATAAGGATAACATGAATAATAATAACAATACTAATACAACAAATAACACTAATAGTAATAATAATAACAGCAGCAGCAACAACAACAAACATAAAAACAAAAAGGATAATAAAATTAATATAAAATTAGTAGGCTATACATCAACAACAAACATGTTTAACATTAAGCTAAGAAATAGTCAGCCAACTATTAGTCATAGTTCCGATAACGGAGGTGACGTCAGACACGGAGACAGCGCCACAAAGGATTCGAATAATAAACACAGCGGCAGCAACAGAAAAACGAAGCAGCAGCAGAGTCAAAAGCTGTTGAATCCTTTTAATTATTATCAAATTCACAAGAACTACAACAACAACTATAGTAAAATGACTAAAACGAGACGCAACTCAAATGAAAATCGGCCACAAATAACGAAAATAGCAGCGGCGGCTGCAAAAATGACAGACAACAAAGTTGTGGCCGGGGCGGCAACATCCGCATCAGCAGTAGTATCAAAATCCCCAACAACTTCCTCCTCGTCATCATCGTCCTCCTCCTCCGCTTCGTTGGCAGCCGAGAGTTCAACGACTGTGGAGTTGGCCACATCGACAACAAAAACAAGTGCAAATATGACAAATGCCAATGAAAATACCACCAATATTTTAGATGCAACAATTACCCACACCAACACAAACAACTACGGTGATGACATCTATGAGTTTATGCATAAAATGCAACAAGATGCTGCCGCACACAGTGACACGGATGGTGTCGAGGATAGCGTTGATGAGGATGTTGGTGATGACGGAGACGAAGGCGACAATGATAACGACGATGATGGGGACACCATTGATGATGACATCGACCGTGATGTCCACAATGATGCTGCTGTGGCTGATAATGCTGCCTTTGCAATGCAGCTGCAGCAATTCCAGCAACAACAACAACATCATCACCACCACAACCAACAGACACAACAGAATCAGGCCAACAATAATATTGTCAAAAAGAAACTGACGGCGACAGTTGGCGCCAGCAGCCGTAGTGCCAGTCAACAATTCCAATTGAAATATAATCGCCTGCAATCGGATCTTAATGAAAACAACAGCAACAACAATAATAATAATAATGGCAATGTCGGCGGCGGAGGTGGTGGTGATGGAAATGGTGGCAACACCAATAACAATAATAAAAGACATCATCACTCCTATCAATTGCAAATACAGGACGTGACAGATTTCAACAATAACAACAACAACAATTTTGGTGGTGGCCAACAGCAACAACAACGTTTGGCAAATATCAACAGCAATAGCTACAGCAACAGTGGTAGTAGAAGTAGCAACAGCAACAGCCCTGATGTGTTCCCAGCCTCGGAACAAACACATCACTCCCAACAACAACAGCCACAACAACAGTGCCTTGATTATTTGGGCGATAGTGCCGAAACGACGCCCACGCACTTATGTACTCATCTCACCTCACCCAGCCAGTTGTTGGCCCAGTTGCGACATTTGCGTTTAAGAAATTGCTGTGAACGCAATGTCTACAGCGCCCTGCACACGTTGGCCCTGAACGCCACGCTCAGTGGTGGTGAATCGTGTATACGCATCCTCGAGGATTTAATCGAATTGGACGCTTTGGCATCGCGCATTACATGCGGCCTATCGGAAATACTTTTTCGCTTCGATTGTCGGCAAGTATATTCGATAATACATCAGTGTGAGGATTGTAAGGTGAGTGCAAATATCGGTTGTTTCTTTCTTTCTTTCTGTCAGATAAAAAGTCAATATTTACAACAGAGACGGGAATTAAATATTAAATAGAGAGTGAGTAAATGAACTTAATTATATTTAAAGAGTAGATCATTCGAAAATTGAGATTTTGTATTCGAATAATTGAAGTTCACAAGGGAATTCGATTCGTTGCGCCCATCTATATCATACTTTTTAAACATTTCCATTTAAAAGTTGTCTTCCCAAAAGATTGTCCGAATAACATTTAGATGACAAGTTACGATTTATATTTAACATGCCATATTATAAAGTCAGTCGTTTCGTTTCCATCAACACGAACATGAACAAGTGCATATGCCGACAGCGAATATTCAGTAATTCATTGTGACTTAATTTAAGTCTAGCTGTGTGTGTCTGTGTGATAATATCCGTTTATGTCACAACTTAATAATTAATTTTATATGGGACTTGTTAAAAGAGATGAGCAAAAAAAAAAACAAAAAAAAAGAAAATACTGAATCTCTATTAAAGAAGCCGTTTATGGTTGTGGCTTTTTGGGTGCTTTTAGCTGCTTTTCGAAATTGCAATACTAAATTATTTATGCATTTCACAGTTTAAAAAAGTGAATCTGTAATTGGATAAGCCAAAGATTAAAAAAAAAATAATAAATAAATAAATTGTTTAAAGAATTATATTTCAAGGACCATTTAAAAGTTAGATTCTTAAAGCATGGAAAGGCAATCCCAATAATAGATTTACAAATTATATTTATTCAAGAACGATTACAGGTACCTAATAAAAAAATGAAAAAAATTGTAAAGAATTTTTTTTTCAAGGACCATCTAGTCCGTAATTTTTAAAGGAACATTCAAAGTGGGGATTTTTAAAGAAGGATTTTTCGATATTAAAGCGTGGCTTTTAAAGAATGATTTTCAAGGATAAATGGAAGCGAGGATTTTTCAAAAAAATATTGTTTTAGAAACAATGCGTAGATTTTTTAAAGTATAATTTTTAAGCACCATTCATGGCAATTATTTTTTAAAGAAGGATTTTTCACTAATCAATCTACACGAGAATTAAAAAAAACAGTGAGCGGAGCAGTATAGTCAGACGGGGCCGACCATACGATACCCTACACAACTACCACGTAACCCTAACCTTCTACGGATATTTATTCCGAGCCTGGGCAATATATTTCGTGATAGTTGCACCCCCTTACCCGATTAGAGTCCAACAGCAAATCTTCCATATACTGACATATTTTCCGAATATTACTAATATTCAGTACAGTCCTTTTAATTATTTGTCCATATTCCCTTCACCGTGGGTTGTGTTGTGATGTTCGGCTTATAATTGTGGCCGAAAAAAATCGAAAAAAAAACAAAAAAGTTTTCGGTCCACTTCATACCAATATTATTATCTGATCATCACCGAAAATTATAGGCGTTGTCCCTGAACATACCTCATGGAAAAAAATCAATATATATTTCCGCCCTCTAGTGTGGTAATGGGTTACTAAATAATATCTGAATACGTAAGGACCTGTAAATATTGAAGTGTAACTCCCACATTCGAGTACATACGACAATATAATTGGTATTAATTTAAAGGCCAACAACTCCTCTTGGATATACTATCAACTTCTCGGACATTCAGGGATAAATATATACGCTATAGAATACAAATTTTGTCATTTTTCACACAAAAGTCAGGGTCCATTTGACCCGCTAAATAATGACCGATCTTTGTCAAAACAGGCATGCCAATTTTCAGCCCGATCCCCTTCTCCATGTAAATTTTGCGATGTTTGGACCATAATTGCGGCCCCAGGAGCGACTACAAAATCAAAGAAAAATAAAGTTTTTGGTCCATTTCATCCCCTTAATATTAACCGATCTTTACCAAAAACAATAGGGGTTGTTCATAACAATGCGAAGTATGGCTTTATAAATAATAGTAGATATTTAAAAATATTTTCTCAAAGACCCTCTGAAGGCGTAGATTAAAAAACAAATTTTCAAGGACAATCTGCAGGATTAAAAAAAAAACATATTTTTAAGGACCCTCAGCAAGCGCAAACGTAAAAAAATTAAGGACTCTATACAGGAGTAAATTTTTAAGGATATTTTTTTCAAATACCCTTCAAGGACCCTTTCAAATACTTTTAGTTTTTATACCCTTCACCACACTGTGGTACAAGGTATTATGTCTTTGTACATATGTTTGTAACAGGCAAAAGGAATCGACATAGACTCATGGTTCCTTTTGAGAATATGCATAGAATCACTTTCTGAGTCGATTTACGCATGTCCGTCCGTCCATGTATGTTTGTGAACAAAGTACAGGACGCATTTATGATCCGATTTGGAGGAAATTTGGCACAGTTCACTTATTGGGTCCAAGCTCGAACTCTATTGAAATTGGAAAAAAAATGGTTTAAATATAGCTCCCATATATAGTTTCATCCGATTTTATGTAAATTATGCACCAAACTGCACAGCGCTCTGAATCTGGTCCATACTTATGTATGCGTAGATTTGTTAAAATCGGTTCAGATTTAGATATAGCTCCCATATATAGTTTCGTCCGACTTTTTGTGAATGATACACCAAACTCCCAATATTTGTCTGATTGAGACAAAATTTTGCTCAGAGTACTGAATTAGGTCCAGACTGCTGTCTGTGAAGTTTTGTGCAAATCGTTTCAGATTTAAATATAGCTCCCATATATAGTGTCGTCCGATTTTATGTAAATGATGCACCAAAGACCCTATATTTGTCCGATTGGGACAAAATTTTGCACAGCGCACTGAATCAGAGTTTTGTTGGAATCGCTTCAGATTTAGATATAGCTCCCATATATAGTTTCGCCCGATTTTTTGTGAATGATACACCAAACTCCCAATATTTGTCCGATTGAGACAAAATTTTGCACATAGTACTGAATTAAGTCCAGATTCATGTTTGCCATAGCTCCCATATACAGTTTCATCCGATTTTATGTAAATTGAGCATCAAACTCCCAATATTTGTCCGATTAGGATAAAATTTTGCACAGCTCACTGAATCAGGTCCATACTTATGTATGCGAAGATTTGTTAAAAGCGGTTTAGATTTAGATATAGCTCCCATATATAGTTTCGTCCGATTTTATGTAAATTATGCACCAAACTCCCAATATTTGTCCGATTAAGACAAAATTTTGCACAGAGTACTGAATTTAGTCCAGATATTGTTAAAATCGGTTCAGATTTAGATATAGCTTCCGTATATAGTTTCGTCCGATTTTATGTGAATGACGCACCAAACTCCTAATATTAGTCCGATTGAGACAAAATTTTGCTCAGAGTACTGAATTAGGTCCCGACTGATGTCTGCGAAGTTTTGTTAAAATCGGTTCAGATTTAGATATAGCTCCTATATATAGTTTCGTCAGATTTTTTGTGAATAATGCACCAAACACCCAATATTTGTCCGATTAGGACAAATATTGGCGCACTGAATCAGCGCACTGAATCAGGTCCATACTTATGTATGCGAAGATTTGTTAAAATCGGTTCAGATTTAGATATAGCTCCCATATATAGTTTCGTCCGATTTTATGTGAATGACGCACCAAACTCCCAATATTTGTCCGATTGAGGCAAAATTTTGCTCAGAGTACTGAATTAGATGTTGATGTTTGCGAAGTTTTTTTATGTAGTTTCTTCCGATTTTTTGTGAATGATACACCAAACTCAGAGTACTGAATTAGGCCCAGACTGATGTTTGCGAATTATTCATTGATTTCAGATTTAATATCGCCCAATTCCATCTCAATGGTCCTCCAAAGATTCTATGTCTGTTCTATCTAGCAGGATATTGTAGATATTAACATCTCTTGTATGTATCCAAAGTGGGGAAGGGTATCATATAGTCGGCTCCGTCCGAATTTTGAACATTCCCTACTGGGTTTAATTTCTTAAATCCTCTGCAAAAGTAGTTTTTTTAAAAACATATTTTTTCAGGGCCCTTTAATAAATTTTATAAGCCAACTGGCTTATAAAATATGTTTATGGATATTCAACAGGCGTAGATTTTATTAAAAATATTTTTTAAGGATGTTCAAGAGGCGATGATTTTTAAAAAATATTTTTAACGACGTTCAAGAGACGTAGGTTTTTTAACGGGCATAGATTTTATAAAATTTTATTTAAAGTTATTCATCAGACGTAAATTTTTTATAAAAATATTTTTTTCAAAAAAAAAGGATGTTAAACAGGCGTAGATTTTTTAAAACTATTTGTTGAATAATGTTTAAGAGTTGTATATTTTTTATGTTTTCAAACACCTCTGGAGGCGTAGATTTTTTTTAATATTATTTAAGGCCCAAGCGTAAATTTCAATATATATATTTTTTAATGTATTAGTTTAAAGACACGACCGCTTGTACTATTTGCAAATTCACAAACAGTTTTTATGGCCGGGTAAATTTAAAGAAAATTTTTCGATGGCCCTCTACAGCAGTCTTTTTTTCAGACGATGTCTACAGGCGTAGATTTTTTTAAAAATAGTTCTTCTAGGGCCCTTTTCAGTAGTATATTTTTTACAAATATTTTCACAGGACCTGACACCGCGCTCTAATACAATTTCCCCCCTTTAACAATTATCCAATTGCATAAAGATATCACACAAATGGAATTTTAATTCGATATGCCCACAAAAATATTCTTTGAAAATTTCACTTTCGTTTATTTGCCTAAATAAATGTGGAGGGCTAACAAAAGTTGAAGGTCTTCAAGATTTCGTTTTATGTTTCCTTTTTACATTTCATTGTCAACACAAAAAAATAGTAATAAGACGAATTCGCTGATTGGATGTTCACTGTTCACGTCCTGTGCAACAAAGGTTCGTTGTTGCATTTGTATATGTAAGTATACAACAATTTCCATCTCCTTACAAAATGTCCTTAAAAGTTGTTTGCATTATTTATTACCTTTGCGCCTGGCCATTTTGTTCGGC